TGATCCTCCTTGGTTTGTGGAGAAGTAAGAGCAGATGTGGTTGTATCACCAAAATGTAACCCCCCACAGGCCCGCGGGGCTCCCCGCCCTGAGGTCTCAGCCCCGAGGGAGTGGACGCTGCGACCGGGCCGTCCTTTCGGATGACGTCGGGTGGGGCGAGGGGCTTGGGTTTGCCATCTAACGCTTTTTCCCCCTCATTTTGCAGCTCACGAAGCCCTCGGGCACGCCCCTCCGGTAGCCGATACCCAAGACAATCTAGTTTTTTTATTTTATTTTATTGATTTCCCCCCTTGCTACCTCCCTCCAGCCACTTAATGAAGTTTCTCGCCCCGAAACCGTCGCCCTGCAATGAAGAAGAGGAGAAAGGCGACTCTCAGCCTTGACGACAAGATCCGCCTGGGCTGTCACCGCGATCCCCCCGAGGGGCATGTCGCCGCCGGGACGCGGGACCCGCTGACCTACGCCCCCCGCGCCGCCCCGAGACCGGCCTCCCCGGAGGCTCTCCGCTGCTACCGGGACCTGCCCCGCCCCGCCACCCCGCGCCGCCCCGAGACCGGCCTCCCCGGAGGCTCTCCGCTGCTACCGGGACCTGCCCCCGTCCCCGCCACCGCCTCCTCTGCCTCCTCCTCTCCCCGCCGCCGCCCCCGATCAGCGGAAGCTCCTGAGCTCCTGGCAGTACCGCCGCAACCTGCTCACCTACCTGAACGCCGACCGGCAGAAGCAGCCGTCCTTCTGCGACCTGCTCATCATCGTGGAAGGGAAGGAGTTCAGCGCCCACAAGGTGGTGGTGGCCGTGGGCAGCAGCTACTTCCACGCGTGCCTGAGCAAGAACCCCAGCACGGACGTGGTCATCCTGGACCACGTCCCGCACTCGGTCTTCCGGCACCTGCTGGAGTTCCTCTACACGGCCGAGTTCTTCGTGTCCCAGTACGAGATCCCCCTGGTCCTCGAGGCCGCCAAGTTCCTGGACATCATCGATGCGGTCAAGGTGCTCAACAGCGAAGGCGTCCCCCACCCCCCGTTCCAGCCCCAGCGCCTCGAGCAGCCGCCCCCGGAGGAGTCGCTGAGTGGGTTGACCGGGGGGAGGGTGTCCGATGACCATCGGTGCACCTTCTGCAGCAGACACTTTTGTTACAAGAAGTCCTTGGAGAACCATTTGGCCAAGACGCACCGGTCCCTCTTCTTGGGGAAAAAACATGGGCTAAACATGCTGGACAGAGCGTTTTCCGCCAGGAGGTCCAAGAGGAACCGGAGGTGCCCCGTGAAGTTCGAAGATGCCGCCGCCGCCACCGCCGGCAATGACACACGAGAAGGTGGTGACGGGTCAGGCGGCCTGAACCGAGACCATTTGGAGAAGGGGAAGCCCGATGGGAACGATTCCGAGGATCCGGGGAGCGAAGGTAACGCCGAGGAAGATGAGCTAGAGGAGATGTCTGATGAGTTCTCCGACACCGAAGGGCCAAGTGACAAGGAGCCGAATGGTGCGGAGGAGGAGGAGGATGAAGAGGAGGAAGAAGAGGAGGAGGAGGAGGAAGAAGAGGAGGAGGAGGAGGAGGAAGAACCAGAGACCGGCGATTCTGCAGGAAGTATTCACGACGGGTTATCTCCCGTGATCATTCAGATAAATAACAAAAAAATCCTGCAGTGCCCCATATGCGATAAAACCTTCGACCGGATAGGTAAGACGAGAGAGCGTGTCGCACTTCTGTCTCTAATAACTTAGCTTTCAGGGGTGTTTTGAAGGCCATGATTAAAAACTGGACTTGGAAAGTTAATTTTATTATTACTATTTTTTAATATAACTTTATTGATTTTTTACATCGAGGAAGGGAGAGGGTTAGAGAGTTCGAAACATCCATGAGAGAGAAACATCGATCAGCTGCCTCCTGCACACCCCCTACTAGGGATGTGCCTGCAACCCAGGTACATGCCCTCGACCGGAATCGAACCTGGGATCCTTCAGTCTGCAGACCGACGCGCTAGCCACTGAGCCACACCGGTTAGGGCTGGAAAGTCAATTTTAAAAAGAATACTTCACCAGGGTGGGTGTTTGGTTTCCGGTACATATTTTATCCTGTTTGTTTAAATTTGTTGTGATTCAGGAATTAAGCATTCATAAGGCTTTACTGTCTCTTCCTCATGTCCTGACAGTAGGCGGCAGGTGATTGGTTCGTGTGTTTGGTTTGAGAATCTCCAGAGCATCAGTTATGGTGAATGTAGAGATTTGATTTATATACTAATTCGATTTCATAGATAAGTGCTATTTTTGAGTCATGATAGAAAATTGAATTAGGTCATATTAGATTTAATTCAATAATGCGTATACCATTTCCTCTTGGACTTGGTAACATGCGAGTTAGAAACAGCACTTTTCCAGTGTTGGGCATTGTTTAGAGTCAGTGGGTTTGGGACTAGATTGTTAGATAGTTGAGAGTAAAACTGTACCGATGGCGATTTAATTTTGTCGGACGAGTCTTTAGGAAGTGCCCTAGTTAGTAGATTCTTCGGTTGTTGTAATAACGAATACATCACCTTTTCCCCTATTAGAAAAGTCTCTGTAGGAAATGTGGTCTGTCAGCTTGAGTTAAAAATATGTCAGTGAGTATTTAAGATATCTCATATTTGCTAGTACAGTAAGTTTTGGAGGCCTCTTATATGAACTTTTCTAATGTGGACTTCTAAACTGCAACAATTGATATTTTCCACATAAATCAAAGTTATGAAATTGTGAAATGTAGTCTACCACATAAAACGGTAAAAGGAACATGTGAGTGCAACCTGACTTCGTAAAATTACTCAGTTTTAATCTCTCCCCATGTGTCTGGCAGGGTTGAGTTACTCATGGGCCTGGTTATAGGTGGAAATTGGTTTTATAAGGGATTGGTAATCGTTTCCTCTCTAGATAGGCGACAGTATACTGTTGGCAGAGCGGCGCCAACATCTTTTTGCTTTTTATCATGCCTCTGAATATTCGTCACTCCAAATGAGAATACTTTTGACAACCCAGTTTAATCATTTATCACGATTTTTACTGTGCAGCTCTGTACAAACACGAATAATACAACTTTTCCTGAGTAACCCGGTGGGAAGAGCACAGACATACAGGTGAACTAGTTGACTCAGGGTGAAATGAGTAACCCGGTGGGAAGAGCACAGACATACAGTTGATGCAGGCTGGATAGTCGCTCCTGCAGAGCTCTCAACGAATGCTGTGTGGGGTGCAGGGGAGAGAACGACATCTTTGCATGGAGAGACCCGAGAACATGTCATCTTCCCAATAGATTTTATTTCTTAGGCTCTGGATTCTTCGCTCATGCCTCCCGTATTCTGCCTTCATTTGGCCTAATTTGACTCGAGAGGAGTGAGCAGGGAGTCAGGTCACAGATGGCCTTGCGAGCCCAGCACGCAGACCTCAGACTGTGAGATGCTCCCGAGAGGAGCTCTCCGTGGACGTTAGGTTGGGAGGCCGGTGCTGTCATTCCCCCTGTGTTACCTGTCAAAGTCCCTGCGAAGAAACCTGTTCACTTTACATAACCCGGTATTTCCTGCTGTAATTTTATCACAAGACACTTTTGGGGTGTGCTTCTTTCACTGCCCCAGAGATGAAAGTTCCCTGCACATCATTTGGGAAAATACTGTTCAAGATGAAGGTCCTGATATTTTAGCCTTTTGCAGCTTTTTAATCCAAGGGCAGCGCAGGTAATTGTGGGAATAAATGGGTCGCATTGCAGGCCTATTTCCAGCCTACCTTTCGGAGTGTATTTTACGTTACCCCTCCCTCTCATTCCACACCCCCCTCCCCCCTTAGCCTCACTGGGGCTGTGTTCTCTCCCCCAGAACTTAGAGATGGCAGTTGATATTATAACATCCAGTTAAAAAAGCATGGGCTGTGGGGGATGTCCCACCGCCTGCATTTTTGAACCCAGATCTTGGGCAAGCTCCTTCACCTCCTGTCCTTTGTACGTAGAGTGGGGTAGACGCTAACGGTACCTTCTCCTGGGGTGACCATGAGGATCGCACTGCTTACAACGGATGACATGTAGAAGGTGTTCGAGGAATGTGAGCTGCTCCTATTATTCGTTAATCTAGTGTAGTTGCGTGTCTCCGACGGGCCAGCTAGTGTGAACGCACTTGGGTATTTTCTACTGCGTCTGTCCCTTCCCTCCACCCCCAGCCCTCCTCACAGCCCGAGGAAGTGTGGAGCGCCGATCTAAAGCGCCACGTAGCTTCTTTCTGGTTTGGTAAAACCTACCCGTGACTTGTGATGTCGGAGAAAAGTCATAAAGGCTGCGTTCAGACTCAGCCCTCGAACACGGGAGGAGGCGGCCCAGGTTTTCGAGGGCAGGCGTCTTGAGCAGTAGCTCAGAACAATAAGTCGCTGAGGTTGATCAAAGTTACAGGTCTAGGTGAACTTCCTTTAGGTGTGGGTGTGGGTCGGTGTATTAACTAGGCTATGAACCATGAGGTGTTTTTTTTCCCCCCACCGTCAAATTCTAGCCACTGCGGTGAAGGCACTGAGCGTAACGGTGCCGTCTCTCTCTTCTAGGGAAATACGAGAGCCACACCCGCGTGCACACAGGTGAGAAGCCCTTTGAGTGTGATATTTGTCACCAGCGCTATTCGACCAAGTATAACCTGACTGTTCACAGGAAGAAGCACAGCAGCGACACCGACTTTCATAAGAAGGAGCACAAGTGTCCTTACTGCCATAAGCTCCACGCCAGCCGGAAGACGCTCGCCAAGCACGTGAAGAGGCAAGTACGGCCGCGCTCCCCCACGCACTCGCCGCGCCCCCGGCTGAGACACGCAGGTCGCCGGGAGCATCGGCGGAGCGGGGACTTGTCCCCGGTGCCGTCATGGCTGCGCGTGTTGCAGACCAAACTGATTAAAGAGCAGCGAGTGTTGGTTTGTTGACATTTTTTGTTCAGGCTGCTGAGATGAAGGTTTCTGACGAAACGCGCTCCTTCGTCTACTGTAGACATTTCAGACACAGCGTTTAGTTATCTTGTTTTCTGCCTTGGGTTTGGGCAAGTTTGTTTTCAAAATAATACGGTTTTAGAACTCCAGGGAGGGTTTTAGAGCCCTAGGAAGCTTATTCCTCATGCTCAACTTTGTCGTTAGTTGATAAAGAATTTGTGAGAGAGAATATTTAACTCATAAGACGTTAAATTTACTGAAATCTGGCCAAAAAACTCACAAAAATTAAGTGAATCACCTTGAAGATTATCTCTGAATAGCTAGGTCCCTGAATGTATTTAACGTCTGTCTAGACTTTTTGACAACATCTGCATAAATTTAGGCATGTGCATTCACTTCATGAAGTGACATGTATATTCTTAACATGTGTGTTTGTGTAAGAATGGAATCTGTCTGATTTTTGTAATCATTGTCCACAGGTTATATGGGATGTTGATTTAACTAATACAATCTTTCCTTAATCATCCTTTTCTTTTTCTCTTCCAGATTTCATCCTGAAAATGCACAGGAGTTTATTTCCATTAGGAAGACCAAGAGTGAAAGTTGGAAGTGTGAGGTAATAGCTTTTCATTTGTATTAGAAAACAAAGCTAAATGTCATGGTGCCTTTGGGGAAAGTAGTCAGACTTGCACGTAACACAAACTTAGTGTAGCTGCCTTTTAGATCTGCCTTTTAGCTGTGACATCCTACGTTTGATAAACTAAGGCTGGTGATGAACCTGACAAATACAGTCCTGGCTTTATTTTACTGTGATCACCATGCCTTGAACCTGAAGGTGTGTGTGTAAACTGTGACACCACTATCGCCCGTGCATATCAAATGTTAGAACTCCCCCTCCATTTCTGATTATCTGTTGCTACATAACAAGCCCCCTCACGGCCTAGTGGCCTTAAACAGTCATTTTATCGTCTCTCACCATTTTCGGGAGCAGGACTTCGCAAGGTGATTCTTCTGTTCCACGTGGTTTTAGCTGACGTCACTCAGTCCTTTGCAGCCCGTGGGTGGTCTGGTCTCGTCTGGTCTGGTCTGGGGCACTTCCACAGTGGCTCACTCACAGCCCTGGCAGCTTGGTGTTGGGCGTCTTCTCTGCTTTGGTCTCTTGGTGGGGCTACTTGAGCTTCCTTCTGGCATGGCGGCCAGGATCCAAGAAGCCTGGGCCAAAGCTAGAGGCCTTTTTAGGCCCTGGAGCAGCACTGTCAGCACATTATTTTTTTTTAAATCTACTTGAATTTGTGGGTTTCTTCTTCATTACGAGATTTGTATTTTAATTTCCAGTTCGGGTCCCCTTACATCTTGTGTGCACGTTCTTTTAGATTTGCAAGAAATATTTCACTCGGAGGCCTCACTTGGAGGAGCACATGATCCTGCACTCCCAGGACAAGCCCTTCAAGTGCACCTACTGCGAAGAGCACTTCAAGTCACGGTTCGCCCGGTTAAAGCATCAGGAAAAGTTCCATCTGGGTGAGCAGATGGCTTCTTCCAGAAGCAGTGGCAGCGGTGGGTGACCACAGCGTGCGGGGGCCTGCTGCTGTCACACCACCGAGGCGGGGGAGGGGGAGGAGGAGGAGTGTGGATCGGGCGGGGCGCTGCGTGTCCTGCAGTTCCTGGAGACCAGGAAATACGTCTGTTTGTTTATTGTTTCGGTGGCAGATCTTTCCGTGGTTCTAAATGGCATTTACTCACCGTTGACAGTTGGATAGCTTTGGGAGTGGCTGTGTTACGGCTTCTTTGTGTTGGGAAAAAACTCATTTTTCAGGGAGGGCAATAGACTTCGTCTGCTTGGAATTCAGTATCGTGTTGGGTGAAGTCTCTCCCCAGTGCGTGCGGGCACAGTGGAGACTGTGGCCTGCTGGTCGTGCGGGGAGGCACAGTCACCACAGTTAACCCCGGAGATGAGTTACTGTCATGCCAGGTGGAGAGCTTTTCCTGTTCAGCGTTCCCATCGGCAACTTGGATGCAAATGCGTGCCTCGTGCTCAGGAAACGTGTAGCTAATGTGAAGCTGGTCGGGGTGATGAATACGTAGAAAATAAAAATGTAAAAAGAAAACTACTGGACAAAAGATTGAAACAAATTAAGTTACATTTATTTAAGAATAAATGCAGAGTCGTAGGCATGGGGATGACCTGACTTTTGGTCATGGGGGACACTGTCATGGGGGAGATATTTTGTCTGGGAAGAGAGATTGACCATCTATCTCCAAATACTTTGAAGTCTCCATTGTGTGGTCAGGAGTACTTCAGCTTTGCAATTCTCGTATATAGCACTAGTGTCTGCTGGAGGCTTATTTTTGTTCTTTTTGCTTAGACCTCTCTGCATTTAGTAAGTTGTTCTAGCATGGTATTTCACCTCAGCATGTCTAAGATGCCGTCATATGGAACCAGGTTTTGTAATTACTGTTGCATGGGTTCCATACTATTATGGTATGTGTAATGTAAGAGCCGTGGTTGAAGGCACGATCATGACTGCGTGTTGCATGTGAGAAGTTTCTTTAGGCGTTAGTTCCGGGAAAAACAGCTTCCGTTGGGAATTGAGGGGTCTTCAATTCCAGGAATATAGACAAGATTATAAATCTGCCTTCTGGGAAGAGAAGATATGACTAAATAAATGATTGCATTGTGTCGTGACATATGCACTAGTGAGAGTGGGCATCCATTTATTACGTACTGTAAAGGGGAAGGCCCAGCCTCCCGTGGAGGGAAGGACCCAGTTCTTCCTCCTTCCCTGAGTCTCCTTCGCTGTTCACACAAAACCCTCCATTTCTGAAGCCCCTGGTCACCAAATGTGTGTGGGTTCCCCACGCCAGTAGGCGGGCCCCTGACCCCAGCCGGCTGCCCCACGGGTGAACTCCGTGCCGACACGCAGGCTGGAGACGGCGTCAGACCCCACGGGTGGGGGGCCCCCCACTCCGGACCGCCCCTCCCCCTCAGATGCCCACGGGTAATGGGTTCCCAGGTCGCCCGCAGCCTCTTGGGCCTCACACACGCCGGGGAGTTGCCCTTGGTGTCTCCTCCTCGGCCTGGACTTACACGGCCTTTCCCTCCCAGGTCCCTTTCCGTGCGACATCTGCGGCCGCCAGTTCAATGACACGGGGAACCTGAAGCGCCACAGGGAGTGCACGCACGGCGGCAAGAGGAAGTGGAGCTGCTTCATCTGCGGGAAGTCCGTGCGGGAGAGGTGAGGCCCCCACGCAGGCGCGTCCTGGGGCCGGCGTGTGGAAGTGAGACCTGTGTGTGTGAGGACTAGAGACACGCAAGACGCGGCGTGCCTGAGTTATGCTTTAACGTCAGGGTTAAAGGTAAAACACAAATTACGTAAAATGCTATAGACCAGCGGTTCTCAACCTCCTGGCCCTTTAAATACAGCTCCTCATGTTGTGACCCAACCATACAATTATTTCCGTTGCTACTGCATCACTGTCATGTGGCTACTGTGATGAATCGTCATGTAAATATCTGATCTGCAGGATGGTCTTAGGCGACCCCTGTGAGAGGGTCGTTCGACCCCCAAAGGGGTCGTGACCCACAGGTTGAGAACCGCTGCTCTAGACGCTATAAAGCCAGGATTTGTGAGTTCAGATGGTGAATGTAATTTAGGTACCATTTTGCCTTTCTCTGGAACCCCAGTAGAAATACATTAACATGTATTCAGTTATTTATTTATCTTAAAGACAGTAGCTACAGAGACCGAGGAGAAAGGTAACAAGAACAACACAGGTTTATAGCTAGAAAGCCAGTGGGTCAGCGGTACCTGACTGAGGTCTCGGACCGAAGGAGGCATCAGAGGGATGGAGAGCCTAGTTGACATCACAGAACCCACAGAAGGCACAAGGGCTAGCAGCAGGGGGTCCCCCTGAAGGAGAGGCAGAAACGGGGGCCTGGGGTAAAGGTGCTTGAGAAGGGAGGTCATCGGATTCTTCCACCCCCCACTCGGGCCATGGCTGCGGGCACCCCCCTCCCAGCGCGCAGTGCAGGGTTGACGAGTTCTGACTCCTGAAAGCACTGAGCCCCGGGCCTGATCCCAGCGGACATCCTGGCTTATGGGTTTGATCTTCCAGGCAGATGAGAAAATAATTCCCAACTCAGCAGTCTTTGTACATACCTTCTCTTTTTTATTCTCCATGTTTTGTGTAAGATAGATAGTTAGATAGATAGATAGATAGATAGATAGATAGATAGATAGTTAGATAGATAGATAGATAGATAGGTAGTTCAGCCATGAGCAAACCAGTGGCAAAGGGCCCAACGTTGAGATTTTGTCCCTTTTGGTTTGTCAGAGGAGAGAGACCACAGTGTGTGCAGGGAGACTGGTCCTAGAAGAAGAGTGTTGGCTTGAACACGTTCTGGTGAGCCTGCTGGGCGCCTGTTTCGCGTGCACGTCGGCGCTCAGTAAACCTTTCGTTTAAACGTGTGTTTAACGCAGAACCACGCTGAAGGAGCACATGAGGATCCACAGCGGGGAGAAGCCTCACCTCTGCAGCATCTGCGGGCAGCGCTTCCGCCACGGCAGCTCCTACAGGTGAGCCGGCCCTTTCCTCCGGCACGGGCGCGAGAACTGCGTCTCCGCTTTACGCCTGTTTCCTCACCGGTGGCTTAGTGGCGTGTTGGATGAAAACACTTCTTAGTACTTGTCACAAGCGAAGGTGTGCAGAAAGCGTGTAGACTTCCCCCTACAGCTTCCAGTGTCCTCTTCCTTCTGTGCGATAAAATATGTTTAAACGTTTCCTCATCACCAGACCTGCCGGGTGCTCTACTGTTGGGATTGTCATCGTGTAAAGATTTATTTCATTACCTTTCTTTGAACCAGAATTCATTATAACTCTGGTGTCGCGAGCTTAGTGTATTTCTTCACTCTGGATTGTCCAAGAATAGTTCGGTATGAAAATACGGCAAAATGGAAAACTCGGGGATTCTCAGTTTTTGAAAGTCTTCATTATTTGAAATTCATGTAATTATTTCTGCAACTGAATCCTTGACCACATTTGCAGTTTCTGAAAAGTTGCTTTTTTTCCTGAATGAATAGGTGACTGTGTACTGGGGGATACGTGTACAATTTTACTTTTAATTAATGCTCTGAAGGATGTTAACCTTAAGGCTTTGCTGTTTACCTCAAAGTTTAAACAGAATGCTTCCCTTTGCAGGTAATTCAGTCAGTTTACAGTTTTAGTGACAGTAGAATCAGCATGTTTGGGCTACTTGAATGAGAAAGCTGTTCGTTTCTCTGGGACAGACATAGTTGGAGGACGGTGAGGATAAAAATAATTCCAGTTAAATCAGTTTTAAGGATTTGAACCTTTTATAATCTGTCCTTGGGTAACTATGAAATGAGCCATATTTTGTCTGGTTAAATATGAAGAACAGTAGTAAAATGTAATTGTCAGAAAGCTGATTACTTAGACACCCACTCAGTTCTCAACTGTCACTTTATCAGCACTGCCTGTGCCCCGAAAGGGTCCCTTTAATTACTGGCTGTCACTGGCCACCCTCCGAGTCTGTCCTTTGAGCTCCTACCCGTTTGCTTCCAGTCCTTCTGGATTCTCTCCTCCTCTGGCTGCTCGGAGACCTCACTGGCCAGAGGGGTACGAGTCCAGCGCGTGCTAGTCTAGTGAAGTAGATGGAGGATCTGAAAGGTCAGGGCGAGTGTCGTCCGGCCGGGGTGGGAGCCTGGGCGGAGCTGAGTGCTTGTTTGAAGAGGTGAGAATGCAGGAAGCCTGGAGGCAGGTGATCAGAGCAGGAAGGGCCCAGACCTAGAAAGGGAGCCGGAAAGGGATGAGGCTGGGAGCCGCGTGGAGTCACCCCCCTTGTTCCTCCCGAGTCACCGCCTCCCATGCTCTTGAACTCTGTTCCTCTGTAGACTTCACTTGCGAGTCCATCACGATGACAAGAGGTACGAGTGCGACGAGTGTGGGAAAACATTCATTCGCCACGACCACCTGACGAAGCACAAAAAGATACATTCAGGTGAGGTGTGTTTGGCCAGGCTGTTCCGAAGTCCTTCTGTAACAAGCACCTGAAAAGTACATGCTATTTAATGCTAATTAACGCTGGCTATTAGTCTAATGATTGGGTCTATATAGGCCACTCCTTTGAACACTGGTTCCAACTACCTTTTTTAAGCAGCATTTGAAAGGGACGTAATTTTATGACCCATTTTTTTCCCACTGTAAGTTTAATCACTTGGTTGTCTTTAATGACTACAAACTATAATTTAAAATTGTTTTAATCAAATGCTCAACATTTGCATCGTGCACGTTACGTGGATATATGCAGCGATGGCTGCCGACAGCTCCCTAAAGGGAGACGCCACGATAATATTTATTGTTTTGATTGGAGTTGAAGGTAGTTAGCAGAACATGGACGCTTGAAGAGAAATGATTGTACCTGGGTGTTCAAGTTCATGTCACGGTGAATTTTTGAAATCCTATTTTTTTTTTTTAGAGTACCTTAATCATGCCGATCAATTTCAGATCGTTATACCCTCAGCTGAGGGTGGCTTTACTTTCCTGGTCTGTTTCTCCCCATGTTATTTTCCTGTTTGGTAATTTATTTCTGGGGGGAAAAACTGAAGTGCATATAATAATCAGATATTTGGGTCTTTAAGGTGAAAAGGCTCATCAGTGTGAAGAATGCGGAAAATGTTTTGGCCGCAGGGATCATCTCACTGTTCACTACAAGAGCGTGCACCTTGGAGAGAAGGTGTGGCAGAAGTAAGTGGACGGGCTGTGTTTCTCCTCAGTGCCGCGTCCGATCAGCCTGGTGGGGGAACTCACAAAGTGTCTCAGTTGATGCTGTTTGGTTGGGGGTAGGTTGGCTAACCAGCCCTCTCACTGCTGTAGCTTCTCTGCAGACCTGCAGGAGTTGAGCAAGGCATCAGTACCAAGTTTACAGAGGCTAGGGTGGCGGACATTGAACTTGATGACTCATAAAAGCTCCGCTCTTTGGGGGATTCGTGTGTGTTGGTTGCTGGCTCTTTGCGTGTATGACACTGCCTGTGTGTTATACTTAATGAGACAGCAGTTACCGGGCATGTCTGTAGTCAGAACTTAAATCTTTGTAACCACACTAAGCACTTAGCATGGTATTTCATTTGAAGGAGGCGTGCATGGTCCGGATCATCCACTTTTTAGTACAGTTTAGATAGCCGAGCTTAACTGAGTTGTCGAGTGTAAAATGTTGAACGAGTTTATGCTCTTGGACGCGGTATTTGGAGCAAGTGCCAAGTAGCAGACGTGGTCCATGGTGCCCGGACACTTAGTGACAAGTACTGGGCGTGCTGCCCACAGCGTCTATAACGGCAGGAGCTGGAGACGGGCCTGAGGGCCACTAGGAGGCGACTGCATCCTTTGCTCATTTTCATGCATTGGTTTGGCGCTCCCTTCACTGACCTTGTTCAGCGACCCACTCATGGCATCAGTGTGTTCAGAGGGGTCGTTGTACTCTGGGCTCACGAGGTGCCAGCAGGCTCTGAAGGGTCGGGCCGTGAAAATACCCACGATGCCACGCGGAGAAGGAAGTCAGAGCCTCAGCAGCCCGTGTGCTTGAGTGGAAGATGGGCCGCACGCTCACTGCTCCAGAGCCTCAACCCCTCTGTACCCTTAAAATGGGTCAGTGCCTCGGGAGCCTTCGTTTATGTGCTTACAACATAGATGCTGTATTATAGGTGAGATGCATTACATGAATCCTTAGAAATTAAAATGAGAAAAACGTGAGTTCTTACTTACTAGTTCATTTAGTAATGAGACGGCCATCCCATGCTCACATAAATAGCAGCTGTGTGAAAAGTAAGTCCTTCACAAAACAAAACTATCAAGAGAGCGGTGGTGTTGTACGTTCTTGTAAATCCCTTTCACGGCCTCGGGGCACAAAACAAAACTATCAAGAGAGCGGTGGTGTACGTTCTTGTAAATCCCTTTCACGGCCTCTGAGCTGGATTGTCCTATCTGCTGTCACGGTGTTATTTTGGTTGAAGGAAATGAAGAAAACCCAGCCTCCCTCAGATACACGGCTGGTTAATGGAAGAGTCTTACAATAGCCCTTTCCTCAGGTAATTGTGGGTGTTACTCGTGACAGCCACACTGAAACTCAGCAAGTGGTAGCTTCGTAAGGAGCAGGGGGGACCTGAACAAGATAATTGGGGTTTTATCCTCTGATGCCTGGAATCTCTTGGTCGGCCTTGCACTTTGCATGGGTGTGTTACTACATGACACTGTCGTATCCTGCCTTCGTCATTTGGAAACGGGCTCACTGAGTTACAGATTTCCCAGTGTCAGTGTATTTCACGGGACGGGATCAACAAGTCACGTTTGCTAACACTTCCGCCAGCGTCCCAGAATGGAGTGCTGGGACCCTGCCAAGATCAAGGGCAAATGCAGGTTTCCCCAAAGTCTTACGTTAGCTTGAAAGCTCCAATTTTATCAGCAACCGGTATTGTCAGTTTTTCCCCTTGAAGTGACAGGCTCACTTCATTTAATTTTGAGGAGGTACCTGCCAGAATATTCTGGTCTGTAACTGTAGGTTGTCTTTTGTTCTTTCAAGTCAAATGGTATTTATTCCACGAAGGCAGTGGCCACTTCAGCGCCCAACCTGGTCTCACAGGTGCTTGTCTTTGACACCATTGTACTTCGATTTGTGGTGTATTATTTATTGAAATTACGCTGAAAAAAACTCTACCCTTTTTATTTTCTTAGATACAAAGCCACCTTTCATCAATGCGATGTCTGTAAGAAATTTTTTAAAGGCAAATCAAGTCTCGAAATGCATTTTCGGACGCATTCAGGTAAAACTTAATGGGTAGTTTATATATATATACCTTTGTGTATTATTCAGGAGTAAAATAGAGGCATTTAAACTTTGTTGTTCTCGGTTAAATTGTTTTGTTTTTCCCCCATTAAGACTGTTACTCGTTACGTAAAGTTTGACGTTACCGATGAGCTGTATTCCGGTCTCCCATTCTCTCTGACAGAAGCTTTAATGCTGTGAACATCCTTCTGTACAATTAGGGGAAGACCTTTCCCATCGGGAATGGACTCAGCGCGTGGCTCTCCTCTCCTGTTCCTCCCGTCTGCTTGTTTATGGCTCCTCTGTATCTGTGAACTCTCTAAATCAGTTATTTTCTTGTCTTTGAAAAAGTAATTCGAATGTGGCCTCATTGCCTCGCCTGCAAGTGCCCACGTGTCCTTCTCCTCCGCAGTCAGCCATCACTCAGGCGGTCAGGAGAATGGCTGGCTTCGCTGCTTCCCGGAAGGGGCCACGTTCTACATCCTCCTCTTCCCCGGGTGCTGCTGCCTGTTGGGAAACTTAGGCTCTGCTGGACTCCTCCCTGGATGTCTGTGTTTGACGTCTCATATCAGTTCGGAGTTTTTCGTGCTCTTCCTCTTCTTCTTTGAGAAAGAGGCACATTTATGCATTTCAGCCACTTTTAAAAAAATATATTTTATTGATTTTTTACAGAGAGGAAGGGAGAGGGATAGAGAATCAGAAACATCGATGAGAGGGAAACATCGATCAGCTGCCTCCTGCACACCTCCCACTGGGGATGTGCCCGCAACCCAGGCATATGCCCTTGACCGAAATCGAACCTGGGACCCTTCATTCCGCAGGCCAACATTCCATCCACTGATGGAACTTAAGAGATGAAGGAAAAACTGACACAACTCTTTTTTCTTTATCTATGAGATTAAAATTTGATTTTACATTAGATACTCTGAGCCAGGAGAAAATGGGAATTGTTTCTTCCCATTTCATCTCACTCTTTAAAGTAAAGCTTCTTAAAGCACCCTATTTTTCATCATCTCTACCAGTACAAGGAATTAACATGACACATTAAAATTTT